TCAAGAGAAGAAGAGGTCTTCTTTCCCTACACTTTGCCATCTCCAAAGTGCCCCAAGAGAGCACTTCCCAGATATATATGCTGCACATACAATAATAATGTTGATGTTCTTGTATGACTCCTGGTTCTGGAGATTTAAGAAAGTCAGAGTATGAGACAGGATTTACAGGAAAAGCTGATGAGCTTTCATTGATGAACTCTAGCAAGGGGCGTCAAGGAAGCAGGTCACTGTGGGCTTCTGATGGGAGGAATTCTTTGCAGAAAATAAAGAGCAGAAGCAAAAACGTGAATGAGAGGATTTGGTAAAAAAAAATAAATAAAAAAAATGGGGAGAGAAGCTGCTGTTTGAATGATTCAGTATAATAAAGTGGTAAGAAAGATTAACACTTCATGATGCGGCAGACAGCTTCCCTAGCACTTCTTTTGTTAAAATGAACCACATGACAGAAGAATTAGATGGAACAAAGCTAAATTTGTACTAACTTGGTAGTATATTAGTAAAGCTTTTTTTTTCTTACCCACCCTCCCCCACCCAAAAAAAAAACAAAAAAAAAACAAAAAAAACAGCCAAATCTTTACAATGGCATTTACATTAAATAAATTTTGGAGAAAAAGAGCTCCATTAAGAATTCCTGATTTGAATCCCATTTTCATCCAAGTTCCTTTTTACACAGGGTGAGAAAGTCAAGTGTTTATAATTATCCAAAACTGCAGCAACACGAGTTCCCCTTCTGCAGAAAACTACTGAAGCCACAAAGTGGTTGAAACTTAGTGTACAAAATGTTTTCCTTTAGCCATTAAGGAATTTTCTCTGTGGTGCCAGACAATATAGGATCAACAAAGTGGTGAGCAGTGTGCTGTGGTGCCTCATCCACTGTATGGATATTCCCACTTTGTCTCACCACCTTAGTCAGGCCTTTACCCTCTCTGCACCTAATATGACTGGACTTACAGCAAGCTGGTATTTCCACATACTGAAATATGATCAGCTGCCTTGTCAGGGAAGACAAAAAATTATAGATATTTTGTCTCCCAGACACTGTCAAAAAGTGACTTCGGTGTGGTCAAAGATCAAGACCTATGCTACATCACCATATAGATTTCACAAAATATTGGTGGTGTTTTACACCATTTTCTTTCCCATTTTCTCTTCTGATGCTTGCCAGATCATGTTGTATATACTTTTCAGTCTTGACATTCATCTCTTCTGAATTTCTACAATGTGCCGTAATTTCTTGGATCATACAAATGAAAGATTAGTTCTTCTCTAGTTCTTCCTGCTATGAAAGACTTCTTGCCAGAAACAATATTTTACTTTTTTTTTTTTTTAGGATAATTATTTTACGAAATGTACTGGTGCTTCATGACAAGACTTTCAGACAAGTCAAGGTTTTTCAACTTTGAACTACCATCAATCTTGACATCATCCCACATACACTGAAAAAGTCAGTTGATTTCTTTCATCCATTTAGCTGGAGAAAATAATTCATCCAATTGAAGAGTGCTGAAGAGCAGAGCATCAGCACTTTTAAAATCCAGTGAAAGAATGTCTGTTTTTCTCTGAAGTGTTCCTAAATAAGATATTACAAGTGTAATGCTATAATATGTATAAAGTCCCAAGCAAAAAGACCCTCATAATGATCTGCAAATATCACTGGAAAGGCTGCATATATCCACAGAAAAGGAAAATGAGAATTTCTTTTCACTCCTAGCTATTTTCTTGTATAAGTGGACATTGTGGATAGAAAGAACGAGTAAGAAATTCCTCAGAATGACAGAAAGAATGAAAATCTTAATCACTTTATGTTCTTATGCAAAGAAGTTAATTTTAAATCCTTGATGAATTCTCCTTACAAAAAAACAAAACAAACAAACAAACAAAAAAAACTAAGGCTGTTAATGTTATTTTCATAGGATACAAGAAAAAGTAGCAGAAAAACTAGCTTCAGGGATCGTGCAACAGAAATGAAACTGCTGTTTGAATAGAGATGATTTTAAAAAATAGCACTAAGTACAATATACATGTCCATCTTGTCCACAGGGAGTCTTTATCTCATAAGAGAAATACAAATAATATTTTTATGAATTATTCATCCTGATTCATGAGAATTTCTATTTTAGGTCAGAAAACCATTTTCCACTAAAAGAAGCTTGACTAGAAAGCTTTCTAAAAGTTCTATTGGTAGGAGGAATTTCTACCGGATTTATCAGTCCTGTAGGAATCCAGCTGCAATCCTGAACACCCAGGCCTAACGGCAATAATTACTCATGTCCTCCTCTTCTGTCCTCTCTGAAGCAGCATGAAAGAAGGGACTTGTGCTGCTATAGTATGAAAGGTTGCAGAGGCATTCAGTTATTTTGCAATACGTTCAAGTAAATTCACTTAAATTTACTTAAATTTGCTTAAATAGTTTATCTAAATAAATTCACAAATTGCCTTAATTGTTTAGAAGTACTCCATGGACTTTGCTGAAGCTATTTAAAATCTACAGTAGTGAAAAAGAACAGATTTGGCCCACTGCCACCTTACTTATGCATAATTAGAATGTATAATCTATTCATTCATTTCTTAATTTCAAACATTTCTGCTAATTAAAAGTCAGAGATGGAGATAACTTATATTCCCATAGCCATAGGTGTCACAGGCATGCAGCCTTCCTCTCAATTCCAATGAATATATCACTTCAGAAGATCTGCTCACATTTTACATGTAATTCTTTACTATTCATCTTCTCCACAGACAAATATTCATCGCAATTGTATCTATTTCATTGTTTCTAAATATTATTCACAGAAATTGTAATCTGTGATACCAAGAATTACAGAGTGTGATTTAGAATACAAGATACTCAGAGGGTTGATTCTGTTGCTCACTGATTAATAGCTTTTTTGGCAAAAATTCACACCAACAGCTAAAAAAGTACACCAGAAAAAAAAAACAAAAAAAAAAAACAAAAAAAAAAAACAAAAACAAAAAAAAAAAAAAAAAAAAAAAAAAACAAAAAAAAAACCACAGCTCTATTGCCCATTGCTCAGATCTCAAATTATAACTTTATTTATTTTGTTTACAAACTTTTACAGCTACTTCTGTTTTTACACACCTATTCTGACTAGATTATACCAAAATCGTACAAATGAAATTAGGCAAAGAACAACTTAAATGCAATATTTTATGTCATCAAAACAAAATTTGTTTCGACACATTTGGCAACTTCAGAATGTTTTGGATTTGGAATATTTTAACATTTTTTTAATACTGATTTGGAATTTTAAAATAAATTTTAGAAACCATGCTAGAAGATATACAAAATGCTTCACCATCAGATAACACTAGCATTATGTTCTGGAATAAGCATAGAAAAGATCTAATGTATTTATACATAGTTTTGATCTAAAAATGATGGAGAAGAGTAAATTTAGGGGCCAGTTTCTACTTCTAGTCCACAAATGATTCGGGGCAAAAAAAATAAATAAATAAAAATGGATTATTAATTTTTGTTTTAACTTCTGGAGTAAATCTTCACTGTACCTCTTAAAGTAGTAGGATGGTACTGGTTCATTAGATACAAAAAAGAGCAGCAGATTATTATATAATTTAACACTAAAAAGATGTTAATAACAATATACTATCATTTATTATCTAAAAAAATGCTCTATGATTATAGAAAAAAAAAAAAACACACAAGAGCAATAGCAGGTAAAGCAGCCTATACTACAAAATGCATAACAAATTCGGCTAGAGGCCAAAGAATTAAATCTGTTCCTGTTATTTTGCAGGATTTTGGAGCATAAAATGCCAGGTGTGACTATGGAGTAATGACCCTACAATCTCTTCTTTTTTCCCCAGCCTGTTCTATACTTAGTATATACTTAATGTTCAAATTTACTCTAAATTAAACCCCACCAAAACCAAATGATTTTGTGTTCTTCATGTTTACTCTCAACCTGTAATAAAGGATTATCTTTGGATGCCAAGACAAAAATCTATGGAGGCAAATGGACTGCTCTTTCTTTTTCCTTTTTTAAAAAGGAAAAGAATTAAGGGTTTAAAAATACTATTATGAAGTGTGCTATGATAACAAATGTGTCATTTCTATGGGTATACCAGCATTCCAGTGATCTTCATAGTGAAATGCAACAGGCATAAAGAAAAACACAGTTTTGTTTAATAGCCTGCTAGTAAATCATCATACCAAAAGCATGAGGAGGTACTAGAATAAATAAAGGAAAGTGCATTTTATAAATTATCTACAACCAGAAACTTCACTTACAAGTTCCTGCCTTTAAGAGACCACTAGGTACATTCAGAAGAGTCCTTAGCTTGAAAACTGTCCAACAACACTTTTCATTTCTATGCCTTAAGGTTTTTCCTCATATATTTGTTTTCCACTGTCTCCTCCATCCTTACCATAAGCCCAACAAACAGAAAGAAAAACTGGCTTGAATACAGTGTTTGAAAAATAATGTTGTAGAACATCTAACATATGTTTTCTAAAAAACGTCTAAGAATTGAAATCTCCATTTTCCCTTTCCATTCAACACTCTGTTGAGTAGGTGATAGATGCTGCATTCCTCTGCCACCACTGTAGAGTTTAAACTAGTTCTTCACTGACACCAACAAGACAAAAAGAGGTTCCTTTTTCTCTGAGAGCTAAGAAGACCGTCTATTTGTCCATTTTCTTGCTGGAATATATTAATTTAGTGAAATTTGAATGCTCTACTGAATTCGATCAATTTGAATTAAATTTGTCTCCAGGATTGTCAGATTCAGAACAGATTTCTGCTCTGTTGTCTAGAACAGACAGGTCATGCTAGAACAGAGCTGAGTCTGCTTCCTTCCTATCCCAGGAGATGCTCTGCCCGTCAGATTTGTGGCTGTCATCCGAGTTGCTACTAAAACTCCCACAAAAGTTGCAAGAAAAATACAAAGAAGCCATTACAAACATTGAAGTTTTGAACAGCCCTAAGGATAGTACTAAACGGAGAGTTTGTTTTACTTACCAATTTGTGTGTGAGCTGGATGGTAATAAGAGGAGATCCTGACAGATTGTGGGACAGCTTGGGCGAAGGATCTACTTTGATGGAGATGAGATAGCTGGTTGCTGAGATCATATAGCCTTTGTAGGCAGCAGCTTCAGCAATCCTTGGAAAGAAAAATATATTAAGGAAGTAGAAAAAACACTTTTTAGTTCATGCCAGTATTGGCCTCTTTCAACCTGGCCTGAGAAATGTTGTTCCTGCCTGATGTACCTGTTAGAATAATTTCACAGTGGTAAGTTATCACAGCTCCCAGTTTCCTAACAAACTGTCTAAAGCAAAGGCCTTTGTGAGCAGTGTAAGACAAAGTTTATTCTCAGAGCTGCCTCCAAGAACTCACCCCTACAGCCACAACAAAGGGAACACAGCACATCCTTTTTTCCATTCAGTTCAATGAATTTCTGAGTATGATCCAGCCCCAGAAGATCCTATTACATGACTAGAAGAAACAGCTACATATTATAGGCCACAGCTTTAGCTATTAAGAGACTTAACATCATAAAAATTCCTTCATTCTGCTCCTTTCTTGCAAAGGTTAACAAGCCTTGCTGAGAAGTGCCTTGGATGATTAGAGAGAATCCTATGTAGTAAGAGGTCTAAAAATAAACCTAACTAAGGAAAGAAGCCTTCAAGCAAAGAGAAAAAGTGCCTAGGTATTCAGACAATCTAATTAAACATGCGTATTAGGAAGATGCTCGCATTGTATGCAATGCATATATACATGTATGTCACGCATATATTTAGAAGTCCTTTAAAGTTTAAAGTCCTTTGAAGTCCTTTGAAGGATTGTTTCTGTCCAGTTATAAAGTTTGTTAGAGCGTAACTCAGGTCATGATATGAACAGAAGGAAACCTGACTAAACATCTGATTAGTCTCTGTGATATTTTTTCTAGGCTAAATTATTTTTGCAGTACATAATAAGGACACTTATTTCTGCTTTCAGCTAAAACTTATGACTTTGGCATTTTGCACATTTAGGAATAAATGAGATCTATTTGGCTGTAGAGTAAAATTTTTTACACTATCTATAAAAAAACTGCAGGTGTAAAACATGCATCACTTTGGTAGTGAATGAATGTTTTTTACTATGAGAAATGACAGCCATGGTGAATTAACCATCAGCGTGGGTACCTAAACACAGCACACCACTGGAAAAAAAAAATAATAATAATAATCTTACATCTGCTACCTGTTAGCAGTGCTGTCTTGTTTTCCTTGGGGGAGGGAGACTAGAGGTGGGGGGTCATGTTGTAAGATATTAAAATAACTTCATTCAGTTCCTCAGCAAGACCAAGTAAAGCAGAACTCATTTACTACAACCACAAGCACCAGTCTTTACCTCTGACCAGGAAAAAACATTAGTATCAGGCATCAGTATCCTGCTCCCAGGAATCAGAATGTGAATTGCATTTGCTACTCTGATATGAAATGTTTGTTTATAGAAGAATGTGAAATGTTAAGACCACTATCCAACATTTTGAGATTTTTCTTTTACAGATGAACAGGATGGACATTTTTCCTCTCCTGTTACTTGCCATTTTAATGTTACAGACTAAATGAATTTTGAAACATGTACAAAAAACTTCAGCACAAAAAACTTCTGCGTTTTATGTTTGCACATGCCAGCTTTTCTTTGTTGTAGCACAGTCCTGGTCCTGGTTTTTAGACTGGCATCTGGTCTCTCATCTGATTACCTCCACTGGGATTACTACACAATGTATACACATGGAAGCAGAACAGGGCTCAAAACCCATTGTTTCTTTTTTCTTTTTTTAATTTCTTTCCTTTAGAATGAATCAAAACTGAGTTCCCTCTGAGAAACTGCTGTTTTTATAGTCTGAAAATAGAAGTCATCTGGCTCTACAGCACAAAAGTTCCAAGAACTTTGTTTTATTTTTACCCCCACATGCTAGAGAGGAAAGGAGAAAACAAACAAACTAACAAACAAACAAACAAACACACCACCACATACAACACTCTTCAGAAGAAAATGAACAGGCTTCAAATTACAGGTGCTCAAGTACCTCATTGCTAGACAGAAGCTAAAAGAAAATCTTCAAAATAAATAAATTACTCTGAAAAAGCGTTTTTATTCTAGTAAAATGTAAGCAAGGAAGATATAATAGGACAGTACAAAGAAAAAAAAAATCAAGCAGGAGGGAACTTGATACTTATTTTTAAAACATTATTTAGATACCTGGGGTTTGATTTCACAATCTGAAATTGTGATGTAGTTCAATCTGTAGTGCAATATAAACTGCAAACAGTTCAAGTAATTATAGGAATACAGCCGTTTCTTCTTCAATAACTTTGTGTTTTTCTTTAACATTGCAGCAGGTACAGAGCCTTTATTCTTGGAAATGTGTGTTAAAAATACACGTGATTCAGTGAAACTTCTATAGGTCTCCAGGTCATCCTATTCCATAAAATTCACAGACCATGCATAAAGATGACGTAACTATTTCCCTATAACAGAACTCCAGCAGCTTTAGACTCCATGATGATGCATTAGAATGAGAAGTTTTGACGTGTAGCGTCTTTACTCATGTTGTGTTCACCTTTGCTAAACTTTGACCTAAGTCAAGACCGTATTAATTTTCCATCTCTAAGGGGTTGAGAGTATAGCTAATCATCTTAATAAATTGCACTCTGAGCCTCCCAATGAAAAACCTAATCTGCCATGAATTATTGCCTGTTTCTTCATGTCAGCAAGAAATATTGTGCAGTAATGACATAGTTCCTTTACAGCCACCTGCTAAGTGCCCTTTTTTTTGAGAAAGAGCAGAGAAAACAACAGATCAACTTGCAATTTAATTTTAAAATGCTATTTAGTAACAGTTGTGCCATTATCTCAGTGTGATCAATCTGGTCATAAACCAAGAATTCCCTGAAGTTCACAAATGATTTTTCATGACCTTCTGTGGAGCTGTGTGTAAAGAAAGGAAGGTAATCCCTGAAGTACATGACAGCTGAGATGCTGCATCTTGCCTTCTGCTGTCAGGCGTAACATGATGAAAAGCCACATAACAGAAAAGACTGAGACAAAGTGTAACTTAATCTACATATTTTAGTGTAGATCAGATAAAAACATGAAGTCTTACTAGTTTAAAAGGAAAGTGTAATGATTTACACGAATGGCAGTTCTAAATTCCCTGGGGAACTGTCCAGCTAAGAGGTATATAGGTCTCCATTTACTTTATCTTATCTGGAACAATTTCATTGGTGCCACATATAAAACAAAAGGTCTTTTAAGCATTACCTGGTCTCCTGTCGTAAAATTATCTTACAGGTTAAGATTTTATCTACAGAGGGATGTTATGTTTTCTTGTTTCATCTAAGTGCAAACTTCACGTGTGTCAGGAGAAAAGATGTAATTTGCCTTATAAAACAGATTAAAGTTATGAAATTCTAATATCAGATCTGATGAAAGGAAAAAGGAGACAAGGAAAGACAACCATGTCACCATGAGAATCTATTTTACTACATCATAAAACAAAACATCTAACATAAGGTTTAATCTCTCTCTAGTTAATGACTACGCCTCCTCAATATTGCAGAATAAGAATTATGGTTCATAATTTATTTACAGTTGATAATGACATGACTGCTATAAAGGCATATTACTAATGTAATAAACAAGTTGTTACAGCATGGGAGATCTGAGATACTTACTTGGTATCCATAGGGTTGATATTATGAAAGAAATAGTGCATGTTATGGTAAAACAGGCCGACAATGGTAATCCAAGCTGTGAAAAGAAACCGGGGTTATTTCTTAGAGCAATTATTTTAAGCAAGAGACACTTCTCTCGTAGACCTGAAATTCTGTGTCAATTAAGAGCCTTGACTTCTGTAAATTTCAACATCTTTGCTTTAGCTGAATTCTGATTATTATTTTAAATGAAAAAGTATGAACAACTTGCAGTACAGCACAGGAGGATGCCTGCCCTATGCAACTGTACTTCCAGAATGAATAAGTTGTTAAAGTAATCAGTCATCATTTATAAAGCTCCCACATGTCATTAGAAATGGCTGCATGACATACCAGAACCAACATCTCGAAGCTACAGTAATCTCATGGTTACTTAACCACTACCTATATTGGCTGGCAATTTACAAAACTGAAACACAGGCAACCAGTTTCCACTTCAGCTGCCTGCTTGTTGTCTTAATTCCAAGTATTTATGGGTTCTCTAGCATCTAAGTGAAGAGACAGATGTGTATTTTATAAGTGTCAGCCACTTTTGTCTGTCTTTTGCTGGGTTCCAAGTATTTACAAAGTGGAATAATGAATGTTTAGGTTAGTTCATTTGGACAGTGTTGCAGTGTTGTCTGAAGGTCAAACTTGTTCAGAAGTAAGTTTTAGAGATTTAACCCTTTTTCCAGCTAAGAGGCTGGATCATTTTGGGATAGCAGCCATGATAATGTGCCGAAGAAAATAAAATAAGCATGGCAAGAAGTTTTTTAAGGAAAAGAAAAAAGTTCTCACATGCTATTTTTAGCATTACATAGTGGTTTGCAATTATAGTTATTCAAGCTTCAGAGCATTTCCAGTGAAGTTTCCAACTAGAGCCCCCTGCCAGTGCAAAGAAACAAAACTGTCATCACAAAGCAGGTAGATAGTTCAGTAATTATTGGAGTATTTCCAACTGCAGGCTATCTGCAGCTTTTATCTGCAGAAAGTTCTGTTGAGCTTTCTTCAACAGAAGTGACTGAGGAAAGGTCTCTGGGTGTGTGAATTCTGTGGATTGTAGTTTATGTGGTTTAGCCCTTATTTTCAAAGACCTGAGAATCCAGGCAGATATCTTTAAAAACAGGTTCCTTCTATCTTTTAAGAATCTAAAATAATTGACTCTGAGATTTTAAAATCTTGCCTAAAGCTTCAGATTTTTTCCAATTTTTGAGATAAGAGAAAATTTTAGCTTAGGTTTGGATCCCGTTGCTTAAACCTATCATTTTACAGTTTAAATTTATAAAACATTTTAAGGCTGATTTTTTGTGGAGATAGAAGGAATACCTGATCTGATACCACAGAATTTCTTTAAAATTACCAGTTTGGATCACTAGATATAATTATTTAATGATGGCTTCTCCAATGTTAAAAGATGCCAGCATTAAATATCTGCAGTCTCTGTGGTCTAGGTGCATTATTCAAGTTGAATTAAAGTAATACAAAGTAATATTTAAGTAATATGAAAAACTCTACCACACTAATCATTCATTAATATGACAGAAGAATTGCTGCTGCTTTAGAGCCAGTATGATCAACAGCAATCAAATCCACTATTTAGAAAAGTAAGGCAAACCAAAAACTGTTTTCAAGAAAAACTATTTTTCAATGTCCTGTTTACATTATTCAGCTCCTTCCTTTAAATTTTTCCTTACCTTTTTCTTGAAAAGCTTCACTGGGAATGGAAATATAACTCTGTCCTCGAGATGGAAAGCGATAACGGGACAAATTCAGAGTCTGAGGATGCATTTTAGCCAAGGTGTAATCTGTGTGATAACCCAAACAAAAATATGATAAAATCAATAACATTTACAACTTTCTTGACTATGTAACTGTGCTTTTCCAATAGCTATTACAAGTCTTGACTTTAAAACTCCAGTTGTTTGTAAAAGATAGAATAAATTCCCTGAGTACAAAACTGCCTTTTCTACCCAACTTCTTTATGAAGGGAAAGGCTGTACACAGTGTTAGTATACCATGGATCACTTCAACCATGCTCAAATACTGAGCTTGACAGGACAAGAAAAACACACTCTTCCTTTGCCACTGACATTTCAAGGCATTATTTCAGACCTCCAGTGCAATGTTGGAGAATGCCAGTGTCCAAGAGAGCTTAGGAAGCATGCATTCAGTGATTAATGGTACTGGTGACTGCTCAAGTTATTTGACCCCTTGCTCAGGTCTCAGTGAAGCAGAGCAGAACAGTTCAATTACCTTCACTACCTGTAGCATCCTGAAGCAGATAAAATTAGAGTGCTAGGATCTAAACAGTAGTAACAGAAAACAAATATATATATATACACGTATATATATATATCCTAAAAGGTTTAAACTAGACCTATCATTTGCAGTCCCTTATTCCCAAATTAAAGTTTTGTAGTATCCATACATCTGAAAGTTTGAAGCACTGTGTAAGAGCTCTAGGCACAACTTTAATAGCCTACCAGTATAGTTTTTGCTCTACTATGCCTTTAATATAGTTTTCTTGGATTAATTTAACAGAATTCATATGATAACCCCTTCCTCAAATAACCTCAAGAAAGTTCAAGTACAGGCAGAGCTGATTACATCCAGACTTTCTGCAACTGAAAAGTTTTTTATTCAAAATAAAAAAAATGCTTTGATTTCTTCTTTCACATTAGCAAAGAAGGGGCTGCATGTACAGAAGTGTTTACGACACACACAGATAGTCCAGAGAGAAAGGTAAAACATTTCTGCTAAATCCTACCTGCCACAGGTGATGTGCCCTCAACAGTTAGAGGTAATGTGTTCTCTTCCAGATTGCGTGTCATATGCACCATCACACTGTCAATAGTTTGAATTAAACTTCCAAATATGTGAGCAGTCTGAGGGAAAAAGAAAGAGAAGGCTCTACAAAAGAAGAAACTGTGTTTCATAGCACAAAATGCCACGGTGCCAACGTCAAATTCCTGTGTGACTCATCGTTTGACTGCCCAAAGTCAAATCTGACTTCTCCATAACCTTTTCCACATATAGGGGATTAAATGTTACATAAATTGATGCCATCAGAGCCTGATCTTATAAAATACTATGTTTTATAGTGTCTCCAAAGAACTCTCTGCTCCCTTCAGCATTTGGCAGTCAATTATATTCAGGACTGAGCAAAATGATGTCAAGAACTGAACAGATTATTTTGGCGATATATAAAGACTTGTATCAGACACTCATTGAAACATAATCTTACATACATTTATATCCACAACTTTCTTTCATCTTTATAAAAACATTCCCTAATATAAAGCTGTGTTTAAAGTGTTTATATGTCCCCTGAAAAACAATCCTCAACACTAAAACTTGATGCATAAACCATCAATGTATGTTTCAATGAAGAAACCTATTTGATTTGAGATCTACTCACACAAGAGATAACCAAGAATTTTAGGCTAAGAACTTAAATCCATTAGACATCTATGTCTTAACATTTTTAGGATTCGGTAAGACTCCAATTTATATTAGTAGCCTGTCCCCTTCTCTTGTTTTAAAAGATTTTGTCTATTAAATTTGAGATTCAAATAAAATTCTCAGAAAATTCCTGGATCCCTCATGCAAGTAGTTTTTCACACTCAAAGTTGGGTAGGTGACTAGAAGAAAAAGATCATTAATACAAGGTGCTTTTCCCTATATCAGTTGTAACCTCTTTCAAAGTTTTACTCTCTAATCTAGGTAAGCACCACTACATATTTCATGTATATTGAAGACAGCCCATCTAAAAAAAAAAATACACAATTATGAAAGTTCAGTGGTAAAAAGCCTATATTTAGGTCAGAAATTAAATACCAACTATTGACAATATCCATTATTTAATAAATGCAGTTTTAGGTTATTTTATTCATTCTGAAGTATGTGGAAGCAGGAGCAGACACAGCTCCCCTACTTTAGCCCTAAAAAATACATTATAAAAGAAAACAACATATTTGTTTTGTCTGTGGATCTTTACTTCAAATATGAAAATGACATACAAGCAAATAAGTCATACTGCCAGCTGTAGCAGCAAGAATAATAGAGGTAACCAATTTCATTACTGTCTATGTGAAGTCATGCACCTGAATTAACCTACAAATCAAGCCCATTTGTCTTACCTCAGGTATTTCGAGCCAGTTGGGCAACAGCAGAAAGTCTTCAATGGCTTTTAAAAATGCCTAAAAAGATTAAATAATCAAATATAGCTTTGTTTTTCTTCAGTTACATCTTGTAGGCATGCAAGGCACATCTCTGCTAGGATTTCCATAGGTTCATTTTAAGACAACAAATCCATTTTAATTCAAGTCACAGAGTCACCCCCTACTGCAAATGTTCTCATCATGTTTTGAATGGTGATATTTTAATTTGATAGTTTATTTATTGAAAGTAACACCACTCCCGAAGTTCAATCGTTACACTACAGCTGCGGTGACAACACTACATCTTAGAGGAAAGAGAATTTATTCTCCTAGTTTATCTAAACTCATATGACATTACTACCTCTTCATCTAAGATTAGATATTTCAAAAGCACTGTATATAAATCTAGGCCCCATCACCTGTTCTGTTTTATTATGTGCTTAACTTTTGCACAAAGAGGTTATTTTTGAGGTCAAGATTGGTCATGGTGGGCACTGTTTTTCATGCCCAGCACAATATAGTCTCTGCCCCAAAGAGTCTTGCTGACAAATAGGAGAAAGGAGACATCGAAAATGAAAATAAAATAAATAAAAATAAAAATAATAATCCACATTCCTGCTTAAACATCTCTGCTCTATTCAAACATCTTAAAACCTATCAGGAAGTATCTCTTTCCAGGCCGCATCATCACTCCAAAATTACCACAAAAAAGCAGGCACTGGAAAAGGAGGGAAAGCAGGAGGACTGGAACTGCTGGGCAGAGCAGAATTATACCAGAATGCTAAGTAAGATTTGTCAGAAGTAACACATTATAAGAGTGTCAGTAATCAGACAGTTTATTGCATATCACTTAAATCAAATTTTCTTGTGCTATGAGGCATGTGACAACCAGTAGAGAGATAACTGTACAGAAAATAGCATGTGTGCTCCGTGCTTGTCTTTCAGGGAATTAGCTGCAGACAATACAAAGCCTAACCATCAATCAGACAAGTGACAGAGTCTGTATGTACGATCAGGACTCTTGTGTTTATTTCCCAAAATAGCTTTGCTAAAGATAATCATGTCCTGTTTTTCTGTCTGCACATCATTTTCATGGCACACAAAGCAGCAGATAGCATGAATGAACAACCAAATGGCAACTTAAATGATGTGGGAAACAGGTACAATATATGACAGGATGATGCTCCATTTTCAAATTAGAGCCCACATAAAATTTTCAGCGAAACAAAGGAAACAATGTATTAGAGCTTTTAAGAATGGTTTTTGCTCCATATTAAAATGTGATCCACAAAATCCAAGCTTTACAGTTTGCAGATGCTAAGCCTTTAGCACAAACTACCAAATGCTACCCCTGTATTTTTCAGAAGTATTTATTTATATTTTTTGTCAGAATAAATAATCCTTGTCACCCTTGTATTACCAATGGGCTTAAAGAAACAATCACTGGTGAGGCCAGAGCTGATTACTGTAATAATAGCTTTCTAGCTTGCTGAAAACAGGGAATTAGCTGTCCATCGTTTTACAGAAGGCCAACTTTTTGTTGTCAGAAAGTGACCCCCTTGTCTGCAGTTCAGACTGCAGAAAATGCTTTTTCTTTTCTTCCTTTTTTTTCTTGTTCTTTTTTGTTGGTGGTGGGGAGAGAAAGAAGAGAGAGAGAGGAGGGGTGGTGGGGTGGTATTAGCCTCAACAAATAAAAAATTACTGAATTAAGCTTTAGACCTTATCTTGCCATGAACCAGTTTTCAGATTTGTGATATGACTACATGGAAGTCCTGGCTGTGATTGGATCCCTGGTGCAAAATAAAGCCATTAACCAAAAAAGGCTGAAGATACCTATTATAAAGAGGCCTTCTCCCACAGCTTTCCACCTCCAGTGCAGAACTGGCAGAGAAGGACATGTGCCTCTGCCCTGCTATTTCAGAGTCCAGCAAGAATGATGCATGACTTTACAAAAGGAGGACAGGCACAAATTACCCTCTGCTTGCTTACTACAGGAAAAATAAAAGCTTTTAAAGAAAAAATAAAAGTTGGGCAGACAGAAGTAACTGATAATATTTTAACCTTACAGTACAAGTATGGATCTGAAATATTAAATTGTAAGCATACACTTGGGTGGTTACCCTGCACCAGACTGTGATGAAGCCACATCTAGAGTGCTACCAGAATCAAAGTTATGATGGTTTGCCATTAGTTCAACCATGCCTCCACTTTGCTGCTGTCACTGCTTGGATTATGGTGTCTTTATGCCTTGTGCCTGACAGGGAACAGTCATACTCAGCTGCATTTTGAATCATTAGGGCTGTGCAGAAAAAAGCTGATTTATTTTTTCCCCCTGTTTTATATATTATTAATTGAATAAACATATTGTTGAAAAAAAAAATCAAATTATTTTCTCCTTTTATGTTTTCTGGTTAACTAATGATTTTAATGTGCAGTCATAGTTACAAATATTTATAAGAAGTAAGTATTATGTAAGGTTCCCAAGAACTAATTTGTTTTAGCAACCTTTGAACCTTTTCTTTGGTTGAAGCTTGCTGTTAGCTTTGCTATTTACTCCCTAAGTAGCCACTGCTTTTTTCATATGCATTTTCTGCAATCAGCAAAAACTTTCAAAGTTGCATTCTATATTCTAGCTCCTGGAGAAATTTCAGTGTTATCTGGCTCTGCACACAGATTTAAAAGAAGTTTACCTCTGTCAGGCTTAGAGCAGTATTTTCTGACAAGGATTTGTTGGGCAATCTGAACGATACATTTTCCAGGTAGTCCAGCATGGTGTTGGGGGACTGGAAGTTCCCTCTCTCCTTGGTCAGATTAGTTATGATGGGATGATAGGCATTTGTAGACAGCTGAGGGAGAGAGATAAAACCATCAGAACTTATTCCAAACAGCAGACATTAGTTATGGTGTTAGTCCAAAAGGGCTCTAAAGGACAGTTTTTAGTTCTCCTGGAATCACTAGCATTTCTGGGTAGTGCAACCTCAAGACTTAAGCATTTCTTAAGCATTTAAGATTGTAAGCATTTCTCTGCCATAAAGCCTCTAAGCAGAACAGCTCACTTCCCAACCCATTACATAGAGCCCAGTATCATTGGGTGTGAAGGGTTTTTCTTTACTGTTTCTGTATTGCTGCTTTTTGTTTGTTTTCCTGTAGTCTGAGGCATAGTGAACTGCTGTGATTATACACAGGAGGCTACGTACACTAAGGGAAAAAGGAAAGCACAAGAACAGATAGACAGGAGAGTAGAATATACATGCACAACTTAATTTTTTCATTAGCAACTCAGGTCCTATCTGAAATGGTTTCTGTGAACAAGAAGAAAACTAATAGAACTTTGACACTCCAGATAGCAAGAAAATGAAAATACCCTGGAACAGCTAATTGCATGTAGGTTGACTACAGCTAATTGTATAGAGACTGCATATGAAAAATAATTTTTGTTTAAATCTTTTTCTTAAGTGCATTAAGTGCATTGTAAATAAATGAAAACTAGCTTTGTTACTGTGGTGGGCAATTTCTTCTAATTTTCAGAAGAAATAAGAAAAGTTATCTAAACTTTTTTGAATTTCCTGTTTCTTCAGAGCTCACTGAAATACTTGTTTCTACTTTTTTTTTTTTTTTTTTTTAATCTTTCCTACACTTAAGGACAGTTCTCCCATCTTCCAATAGTAGCTGCAAATGCTAACAATGCTTTTTTAGTACTGAAGTACTAAAATAAGTGCCATTAATTAAAATTGTAAAATGGAGAGGATATGTAATTCTGTAATATGTAGCAAATTCTAATGCGATAGAAAAGAGTTATGTGGACTGTCCTACCAAAGGTATTGCAGTAGTTGTCATCATAGACCATGGAAGTGTTGAAGAAAGCAAAACTTGCACACCTAGGAAAAATACATACAGAAATGAGTTCAAAATGTGTGTGTGTATGTATGTATGTATATACATTCCCACTGCAGTTCCAAGCAGTTCTAACTTAAAGCATTATATTTGCTGTTCTGTGCAGTTTACTTATTTACAGTACTAGAGCTACATAGTCTTGTTTAAACAATTTCAGGTACTGTTTCTCTCATCAATTTTATATCCACATCTTTATACAGAATAAGCCTTGTAATTTAGTTTAATTCTTAAACACTTAAAATTAAACCTTTCTTTGCAAACAGGAAGTTTCAAGTGTTTTATCTCAATAAAAAAAAAAAATAAAAAAAAAAAAGACAACTAAGACAACTGCAAGATTAAAACATTGTCATCCATCTTCCAAGGCAAAGTATTTAGGGAAAAAAAAAAAAAAATGCTATGTCTTATCAGAACTAAATAATAATCTGTAGGCACTTCTGACAAGTTCATATATCTCCTTGCTGTATTATGTATATATGATAAATTCTTTAGAAAAGGGACTAGGAAGACTCAGACATCAGAAAAAAATGAGACTCAAGTGTCAAGTATGGTGCCAAGATAGATGCTAATTTGTTTAAATAATTATTTATGTCTTGAATATAAAGTGTTTGAGTGTCAAATAAAATCGTGCACAAGCAGACAAGTTCAGAAAGACTTTTCCTAAAAATAAAAAAAAAAAAAAAATCTGTGAGAAAAACTGAAAGCCAAATATTTCTATCACATTCATGAAAACAGGGGGATCGGTCAAATAAAAGAAAGAAAAAAGTAACAAGGGTCAAGGAGTCAAAACAGCCTTCAGTAGCAGTAGGAGAATATTGTGGATAATGTCTCTATTAGGTGTTTTTAAGTTAATTTGAAGCCCCAGCAAGGTTGCTGTTAATCAGATGGGCTTAACTGATGAATATTCTCTTAGCACCCCTTAGCATTATACCCACTGAAAATTACCATATAAGCATGTCATAAATGATTTGTTGAGACAGAAAGAATAAACTCATTTTGGGATGGTTTCCAGCTACTCCATTTTAAAAACATTGATTCCTTTCTGTGCAAGAGGATTTATAGATCATTTGTGATAGAGAAATAAAATTTTCTTCTAATCTGCATCTTCCCAAGAATTTATGTTTGCCCAGGAGTATGGTATTTCAGCACAATCAAACAGCAGTGGCATATACTGGACACATTATTTTCATTAATCCACATGTAAAATGATTATTCATTCTGTTAAGGAACAGGCTATCCTATTAAGTTTCTTATGTTAGACCACGTTAGCTCAGCTTCATCCCTGCTTTAAGTTCTACAAGGTCAATAAATACCAAGGTTTGGTTTATTGTGTTGGTTAGTATTGTAATATCCATTACTTCCTCTGAGAATGCCCTAGCTTCAGTTATTTCAAATTGGAAATTAAACCAAAAAAAATCTAATCAGTCTACTGCTTTGAGTGGAAACTCAAAAAAAAAAAAAAAAAAAAGCTCATCAAGCTTTTCTTTCAATTTAGATGTAAGAAAACCCACAGTTCCTCATGACCCTGAACCAACACCTTTGAATCAAGGTTTAAAAATAAAAATAAAAATAAAAATTGTGGTAAACTCACAGAACATCAGGAACATTTCAATGCAGCAATCATGGAGTCTGCTATGTAGCTTTCCAAAAATCAACACGAATGGAGAGGAAGAGTACTATAAAATTCTGCACTGCATTCCAAAAATTTAGACTTCAGGAGAATCAAAGGGTCAAACTGTTACTGCAGTCTTAGAAAGTTTAGTTATTAGCATTAACAAAAGCAACTATATATTCTGAACTATATTCAGTACAACTGAACTGCCCTTTTCCAAAGTGAAATATAGAGGAATGGAAACTTACATCCAGAACAGCATTTGCGTTCCTGGAAAGACCTTTCTGTGATGCCTTAATTATTTTTGAGTGTGGGTAGGATTTTCAACGTGGAATAAAAAATTTATACTTTCCATATCAGACAAATTCTCTCAGAATGTTTGAAGACATTCATAAGAACCACATTGTAAAACAAAAAAAACTTGATTTCTATCATTTGTGTTGCAAAGCAAATAGGCTGCTTCATTACATATTAAATGAAGGGCTTCCTTTTCAGTGGTTTCAATTCTACTTAAACTACTCTATATTTTCCTAATACATTTTGTATTTAATTTGATCGCTATAATCAAACCTGGGTGTTACAAATGCATGCATTCTTATTTCCAGGTTTGCATCAGTAGTGTTATTCAGAGTTTTCATTGTGAAAATGTTTCCCATGTGCTTAAAAGCACAAGAGTGATGGGTGTAACTGCTTTAGCTCTCAGTAACCCAGTGAGAATAAGTGAAAGCAGGGAAACTGCCACTGAAGCCAAATGTTACAGATAGCCCATAGTTTTATTACTCAGATGCATGTTTTCTAATTGTTACTCACACACAAACACTTAATAGCAACAGCCTTTTTTGTACTGAAAAGTTTATAATAAAGATCATGCCTGACAGATTACTGGCCACCATCTTCTAAATCTTTGTTCAAATACTGATTTTCTGCTGCATGTATTATGCTTCAACTGATATCTTTCTTTTCAGTTCACAAATACAACTTAGTTACTAAATCTTTATTGTTTCAGGAACTTGCGGGTTAAGCATTGTTATCCACATCTGCTGGAATCAGTAGGTGACTTGCCTCTAAAGTTATACAATGACTAGAAAACTATGGTTGATATTTCTTCATACTGTTCTGACTCGAGTCTAATTATTGCTCTTCTTCACTTGATCTTAGGGGACCTAACAATGACTGTATACTTCTGGTTTCAGTAATTTTATTTTATTTATATACATACATTGACATTTTAAAGGAGCTAGAAGCCCAGATGAGAAGACTGCATATTCAAAGACAGCTGAATGTTTCAATCACTTTAATATCTGCATTTTTCTGCTTCTACAAACTACTTTCAATGGCTGAAAAATGAAAAAAGAATACAAATCCTATACACTAAATATTTTTAAGTCAACTTTTGCAAAAGACAACCTTTGACAACAACAGTGTATATACTCACCAATAGCAGCTGTAAAATATTGCTCAATTTCATTGGGGGTGAGTGCCCTTTCCCATATAATGAATTCATCAAATGCCCCATTCACATAGCGCTTAGTTTGATCCCCCTCTGTCCCAGTCAGCAGATTTGCCTTGGGGTCTCCGTAATCATAGAAAACTTTCCCTTCTGGGTCAGATGTGTTTAGAGTTCCATTGACATAGACTTTCAGTCCTTCTCTTGATTTCCAAGTGAAGAGAATATGAGTCCAATAAGGACCTGCAAAACATTAAGTCACGGTAAAATCTATGAATCATTTCCATTTAGTGTCTCTCCTATTCAGGAAGTTTTTGCTGACTTGGGCTATGCTATAGAGGTATGTAGTAAGTGCTAAGAGAGAATTATGGAATGCTGATATCATGTATATTAATCTTTATACACATGGGGAGGCCCATACTTTGGCAGAATGCCTCTTAGGTTTTGTCTGAACTCTTAGTTGGGCTCACTGCAGTTCCATAAATTATATTTGGTGAATACTATTGGCCAAGACTTGAACTCTCTTCAATACTGTCTCAAAATACAATTCAGCAAGAGCTCCATAAAGACTGCAAGAATGAAAGAACAGAAAAATAGGCTAATTAAAAGCTGCCAGTTTCTTTGTTACACTTCAAGGGCTGAAAACATAATATTAATTTTTATTTGGATTGAATAATCCACAAATATGCAAATTTTTTATACCATTTAACAGTTCTTCTCTTAAAACTGGATTTCTAAACTGATTTATTATACTTTATAAGACTTTATTACTATGAGGTGAGAAAGTCCTATATTCCCAGTTTGCAAACAGTTAAATTGAGGCAAGAAAAGACTTAGTGACTGTCACTAGCATTACTAGAAATACAGATTTTTTTTTGAGTCACTAGGTAATACCGTTTGCAACAACAGTGTAGATAGAAGCAGTACGATATGTGATATCCCCAAATGCTTATTAATACCATGCCATGACATGCAAAATTTGATACTCAACAGCTAATAAAATGACCAAAGCACATAGCACCCATCAGTGCAGTGGATGCAGCGGAGGTCTGCACACATACCCAGTTTTAGAACATATGGAGAACTCCTAAGGATTAACCTGCATTCCTCACCCAGCTGTTTCCTTCTAAGCACTCATTAATATATTGATGTCAATAAGAACTCTGCTTCAGAAAAATGGAAGTCAGGTCCATGTATTGTTGTTGAACAGCAAATGTTCTGTAGTACAGTATCACTGAGTTTTCTGATCATATTTTCTCTCTCCCTCCCCCCATGAAGAGAACTCTTAAGCACAGAAATCTGTAGGTATCTTTATATACCTACTTCTCTTTCCTGAAGATGTGCTCTTACCATTACACCTCTCTGCAAGAACAATATAAAGTATAACTAAAAAAATGCATGAAGAAAAAAAAAAAAACTTACCTGGTGGACTAAAGCTTGCTTTCCACTTCATCATTGCATTCCCACGTGTGTAAAATTCTACTGAACCTTCACCTTCATTTGAACAGATTTTGAAACCACTGGAAATTACTTGTCCACCGGAGGCAGGGGGGAACTTAGCCTGCTGGTCTTGAGTCTTCCAGAAAAAGGAAAATGTTACTCCTGACAGAAGCAAGTAAAAGGCAATTTTTAATGAGAAACAAATGTAACTGAAAGTTTATAATATTTTAAAATGCAGACAGTGGGAATGTTTTTGAGCACAAATCCTCTGCTCGCATAAACAAGAATGGCATTTTTTGAACAAAAAATGCGGTAATAGTATAAACCAAATAAACATCTATTCCTTGGTTTTGCATCACACACACGTATCCAGGACAGAACAGCAATCATCTCTTCCTGGCTAGCTTCTCTCAGTTAGAACTAAAGCTTCTTGAGCACCAGCAGTAATGAAGTCTTTTTCTCTCACAGATTTATGCTTCCATTCCCTATACCTCTCTCTCCAGTCTCCTTACCCTTCTCACCCTTACTATGATCCCCTTTCTTTCCTGTGATTGTTGTTTATTTCAGAACACATTGATTTCATCTCCACTTTCTCACCCAGCACCTGTAACTTTCTGTGATGGATACCATATGTCCGTAAAGCAAGAAGCAGTACATTGACTACTTCCAAGCTACTGGCTGCCGGCACATCCATGCTTACTGAGTAGCATCCATTCTTGATTACACTTTAATTATTCTTAAAATGTTATTACCTGTCTTTTCACACTTCAGTGCTCCAGTAATTGCTGAAAGCAAAGAAACAGTGTAGAAGAAAAAGATACCAACACATACAGAGCCACAATCACAGCTGCAAGGTTCTCACTTACGCAGTGACAAAGAATCCCTCTCTAAAATGCAAGTGCAATCCTCTGTGTGCACATGATCAGCTTTGTTCACAAATAATTCTGCTAAATCCACCATTTTACTGTTGTATTCTAAAAACTGAAAAACTCCTCAGATTGCACACTAGTGAAGAAATATTTCTCTAAAGATTTCTGTTTCCTTAATAAAGGTTACCTCAAAGGCCTCAACAGAAACACGAGTGACAAATTGAATGTCCCTTGCACTTCAGAAGTTCTTACTCTGCTGTTCAGGTTCTACAGCTGAATGCAATTACAAAGAAAATGGATTGACTAAATAGCTCCTAAATGTGTTCATCTCAGAATTTATAGTGCTAAGTGCTAAGAATTAAATCTGAATTCAAAGCAGGTTGAAAACTAGATACGAAGTACAGAAGTGGAAGAGGTTTTGCCAGAAAGATTCGAAATTCGGAAACAACCCCAGAGATCACAGTCTAAACTGCTTGCTTATATCAGGGTCAACAGCAGAGCTCAGTTGATTTTTAAACATCACCACAGGTGAAGGTTTCACAGCCTCTCTATGCAAACTGTCCCCATGCTTGGCCGGTGGCACGGCAAAGAGCTTTTTCCTTAGATCTAATCAGAATTCCTTGTGCTACAACTTGTCTGTGTTGCCTCTCACACTCTCATAATCCTAACTCTGCTTTATGATGCTTGGGTAATTTCAAAAGGTAGTGCACCTCCAAGACTGTTTGACACCAACTATTTCTATAACCACTCATCAGGTAGTTGAAGACAGCCCTCAGCGTTCTCTTTGCTTCATGGTGAATATTAAAGACCTAGGCTTCCCTCCCATATCATATGGTCTAGCCCTGTAAGTTACCTACATAGGCCTCTGATGGACTTACTTGACCTGTCAGCCACTGCTCTTAACCTGCTGACTGGGCTCTTTTGAAATGTAGTCTGATGTAGTCTAATATGTCTGGATGTTTTTATAGCGATCAGTACCTGCAGATTGCCCAAACAATAGGAACTATGGCAATTTACTATCAGTTAGCCTAGCACAGGCTAATGAAGTCCTCAAATTATTACATCCATTTCTTGTTAAAACCATAGTTTGTTTGATTGTTGTTTTTTTGTTTTGTTTTGTTTCACAGTTCTCTGATCACAGATGTAAAAGTCTTACATATATCAATAGAATCACCAGAAATATTCCCCTCACTGCACACATTATGCACACATAATTTTTTATACTATTCACATATTTTTTGTCATATTAACTTAGCAGAAAATTTAAAAATTTATCCTGCAATAATATAATAATTTAACTATGTAGTAACTTTCCTAACTGATCTTCCTGTTTGTTCTCCTGGCAGCACCCATTAATTTATATGAGCTATACAGCTAAATGTTTTATGCACGATAAAATAACCACCATGGAAAGGTTAATCAATTATCATTAGTCTCTTAGAAATCAATCAGTATATGAACATCATCAGTCCCAGTTTGTTAGATCTCAATGTTTATGGGTTTAAAGCTATAAATGCTGTGAACTCCCAGCTGAAGAATTTGATGTTTGCTGTAAGCAACTTGCAATATCCTCATCGGTCCATGTTCATGTTTCAGTGTCTTCAGCAAAGAAGTAATAGGTTGAAACTCTAATCCAACCCTCCTTCTGGAAAGCTATGCACTTCCCTTGCATCTACATACAATTCTTCAACACTCTGGTGAAAGGGCCACCAAGGCTGATCATGTCAAGCAATTATTGCTATTGATGTGATTCCTTTGACCAAGTATCTCATGATCTTCTCCCAGCTATCTTCACAAAACTTCTGTGGAAATGTTGTTATCCCATCTTTCGAGACTGCAGAGCTGAAGTTAGACCAAGTTCTACTGTGTGCCTGCACTGGAGTTGTTTTCCCCCATCTTCGACTGTCCATCCTATTGGACTTCCCTGTAGCCACTGATCATCCTGTAGCCATGAAAAGACTGTGGATCTAAATCCTTCTTATGTGCACTCTATCACTTCATGAAATAGAAAAACTTAAAATAAGACTGAGTAAGGCACACAATAAAAACTTCACTGAAATTTAGAAAAGCAGTTTTTCCCAGATAGCTTGACAGAAATAAATCATTTTGGGTCAAACATATTAAGTTTTGCATCACCAGATGCTCATATGAATCTTGAGTGGGTAAGACTTGCTTTTAGCTTTAGAGAAGAAAAACTAAAAATATATAGTCATAAAAGAGCAAGAAGGGGAACTTAAAACTTATAACTAAAAATATGCTGCAGACTTATTTACAATAATATGCATGACTGCACCTGATGACTAAATCTTTGAAGGTGTCTTCGAGTCAAAGAGAATTGCGTTCATCATTAAGAAAGGTACTTCAAATTTTATGTGCTGTTATTGTTTCTCTGAATAATCTCTCATTACCAGCAAACAAGCAAAGAAAAAAAAAAAAAAAAAGCATAAACCTGAAAGCCAGACAAGCCAGACTACATATACAGAGACTATTCTATTGACAACATCTTTTTAAAAGTGTCGTCATCCTTTTAAAATTAAAAATATTGACATATTTTTAATTACGGTACTTATCCATAATACAGCAATAAGTGTTTCCAATAGGACATTAAGGAACACAATTGTTAACAATAATTGACATTATTATTCCTGTTATTGGTCTGTACCAAGGGAGATGTGAGGATCTGAGACTTCCCAGTCAACCAGCTTGGGAACCTGAGCCTCCTAGGGCAGACTGTTCTACGGTTCTTCACAATGATCTTAAAGCCTGGCATTAGAAGAATCAAACAAGCTTTGCTTATTTAAACTGTGGTCCTTAGAATTGCACACAAAATAAAATTTAATCCCTGACAACTTTTAAGAGAGAGCATAGGTCTTCTCACGTATATGGCCCAGATTTGCAAGCTTCATTAAGCCTTCTAGTTATCTGAAACAAGTTTTGTGTTCACAGAGCTATCAGGAGGTAAAAAGCTAAGGTATTTCAAAACCAACCAAGGAATTCAGATATCCAATTTCTGTTCAAATCAACAGGAAACCTGTCACTCGAACAGTTATAAAATGTTACTTTGTCAGAACATTTATATATCTATGTCACAGGTTAGATAGTTAAGGACTAAGAGCAAGAAACTTAATGGTGGACTACTTCCATCTCCCTAGCGTCTTCCATATTCACTGTGCTTTATGATGCTCGAGTAGAGGTGCTAACAAAATGAACACTAAATAAACTTCTCATTATGCTGAAAGGTTCAAGGAAGAAGGAATTGTATGTGGGTAGGAAAGCTCATCAGGAAGGTGTTCTCTGTATGTTGTAGAGCTCTTTATTATTTTTTCTATTGTATTCAAACTAATGATTAAGAGAACCTTTTCTTGCATCTTTCACAAATGTTTCTTTTGGCTAAAAATGCCGATTTAATGAGCCCAAAACTGCTCAGAGAAAACCGTTATTTAAAAAGTGCTTGAGAAAGAAGGGGGAGGGGAAGGTTTCAACATTTTAAAAACAAGAAAAATGTGTTTTCTCAAGTCAGAACAAGAGTTCTGAAATGTTATTACATTTATGCTAGAAAAAACTATTGGGATTTTTGTTTCATTAAATATTTAGATTGTAATACTTCATCTGGAAAAATCCCAAGATCATCTCTGAAAGCATCACTTCTAAGCATACTTTACGCCAAGTCCACACGAATGCAACAAATGGACATCAAAATATATTTAAGAAACATTATGCTCATATAAAATTAGAGATCATCATCACATTTAATTAATACAGAGACAAACAGATACCTCCTTTAGATAAAGGGGTGTTGTCTTCTTATTTTTTACCTGATATAATGATTAAGTATTCGCTATTTATATTTATTCACATTTTATCTGTTGAACATTTCAATGTTTTATGTTTTTAGTGTTCTTTTTTGTGAGATAGGGGGAATTATCTATTACAGTAAAAATGAATGGAAGTAGAAATAATACAAATCATCAATGATTTTTACTTCCTGGCTGTATGAAGAATATATGAAAAGATACTGTAAGTATCAGAAGATATGCCTGCTGTGGGACACTGAATTATCTTTTCTAATACTCTCAGATAACATTTGTTCACCATCTGCACTCCAAGTTTCTTCTTTCTTAGAAAAATAATGCATGTCTTAAAATAAATAAATAAATAAACAATCCTATATCAAGTAACATTACTAGCTTGAAGAATGGCCTAAAACCAATAAAAGCAAGAAAATTCAATGTTAATAATATTGCTTAAGCTTAGGGACTTCTGGAGGTTACATATAGAAAAACACCATTTTCCACTAACCCTTCTACTTCTACATTTTAAGTCTTGAGTGCATGCAATGTGATAGTGACTGGTATTATGCTTGTTTTTACAGAAACATACAGTATTAATCTTGTGTAATCAACTTGTTGTCAAACCTGTGTACCCTTATTATACATGTAATTTTGTGGCCTTTGCCTAAGAAGAAAGGGAAGAGGGAAAAAAAAAAAAAGAAAAGAGAGAGAGAGAGAGAGAGATTTATGCATCTGGAAAAGAGATTTATGGAAATGGATTTCAAGACACCTGAGATTTAAAAAATAAAAATAAAAAAATAGAAATACTATCTCCAAAGCTAAGTTTGAAAAAAAGCATTCCTGCTCAAATGCCACAGTGTAAGGCATAGTCTCCAAAACTCCCAAATTTCAAAACTGCAGAACAGCTTATCTGTTTGTCACACTGCATTTTTTGTAGCACCATTAATCTTGGTGCCAGATGAGAGATTTCAGGCATTGTAACCTTATTTCTGATTTTGTTTGAATTAATTATACTGTAGGTCATTGATCTGAGTAGTTGGTGATTAGTTATAATCCACATTGCAGTTAGAAAATACTACATTTTCAGCAATCAGCACTCAAATGTTTCTTAAGCCAATAAAAAAGCATCAAACTAGAATTTTAGAGCCCATTTCAATTTGGAAAGAAACTATAATTATTGAATTATATAATTTGACAGAGAAAGAAAAGCAAATATTAATTAATTAGTTTACTAACCTTCAGGTCCACAGACTTCTGGGTTGCTAATGCAAGAATTTTGATAGCTTCCAAAGAAGAGAAAGGTAACTCCTTTCTTTTCACGAACGTAAATTCCTTTATTCACTAGTCCTTCCACAATATCTAAAGGAAAAGCAAAATATAATTTAACATTTATGTAAATTAAAGCTTGCTGAAAATGTGATTTTAACAGACTCAGACACTTGCTTATCTAAACTACAGGTTTTCTTATTAAGTTGTTTGGGTTTTTGTTTGTTTGCTTGGTAGTGTTTTTTTTTTTTTTAATTATAAAAAAAAAAAATCATGTTTCTTTCATTTAAGGTTTTTAAAAAATTATATTTATGTGCCTCACCCACATTCTTCCTTAACTAAAACTTCTTAATAGAACTCATATACCCAAAACAGAAACTAAAAATCATTATTTCAATGTAGTCTGAATAAACCATACACTTTCCAGACTTTTGAACCCTGGACACATCATACAAGTATTTCTGGCTTGTTGTTAAGTAGAGTAGGTCAAGAAATTATTTATTTAAAAATGTAATAAAACAGGTTTTTGTTTTTGTTTTTTTCATTTTTGAAAAGGAAATTTTGTGATAAAATCCAATTTTATTTTAAAGAAAATATCTCAATAAATATACCTTACAAGTTATATTCAAAAGGCAGAAAAATATCTTTCAGACATCCTTTGGTATGGCATCATTGTAATTTATAAAAGGTTTTTCTTTGTCTAACAGGGACAATGACTAATTGTCTAGTGATTTAATTGTGATTTTCTTGTGACCTCTGCCCTAAAAAGCACTGTTTATTCATCCCCTACTAGCTAAAAACTATGAGCGAGCCATCATGATACTAAAATAACATAACACATTTACCATAGAAAACCTTGCTAAGATCAGAGAATTTGGCTGATAAATGACAATGGAAAGTTCACCTCATTTGTTCCAAGATAAAACGTGGACTAATATTAGCAATGAAGACTATAGGAAATCATGGGAAAAAATAATTCCACCGAGTTAAAAAGTCTGCGTTCCACAGAACACAGAATATTCCATAATTTATTTCTGAGAAGACAGAAGATAATTGTCCAGTTTAGAATATAGCCTTAATATCATTGTAATAGGAGGTCTGAAAAGATTGTGAAGATTTGGGATCTTAGTTTTAAATACCCCTCTCTACAATTTCTTCTGAAAAATACAGTGCTAGGGGAAGAATTGCTCAGAAGGGAAATATCTGCAATGAGGACATAGTCTTCTCTGAAGAGCAGGAATTGCCATAGAGGTGCTGCTTGATATTTGAAAATAGAATGAGATTGGAATGGAAACGAGGAGCACACAAATGGTCTACAACTAGTAAAGGCTGGCACATGAGGGACTTCCCTCAGTATTTATATATGTACATCTACCTGACTTAACCTGAACTTTTTGCATAGCAGAGCATGGTGAAAATCATGTCAGAGTGGCACAGGTAGCACTAAGGAGACACTGTCTATGTGGTTGTCATTAGATACTTTTGTCACCGCTTTGTGTTGGTGCATCTCCTCATGCAACCTGTGCAAAAGGCAATCTCATTTCCCAGCTGCAGACAAGTGGGAGTAAGGACCATCATAATGCTGACCTATCCATAGGAAAACACCACTCAGGGACACAGCAGCTGCAGCGTAGCATAACCCTCAGTGAACATATGTCCAAATATTTTTTTAGTTCATACCAAATCTCAATGAAAATATCACCATTTTTAAGTATCTTCCCCTACTTTTGAGCAAGAAGACACCAAATTCTCTAACTGACAGATAAAATTCAGTTCCTTTTAGAAATTAAAATAGTATAGAGTGAAGCAAATATTTCTAGATTCTTTTTAAGTCACTTAAATTCTGAATTAATCTAGCCAGAATAAATACCATAAGGTAATGTATTCCCGTTTCCATAGCATTTCCTTTGCTGTTAATATCACTCTTTTTAATGTTCATATTGAATACATCTTATTATGTGAGAACTATGCAAATGGCCTATAAAGCAGATAAGTGAGGACTGAAAGAAATTAGGGTCGTTTGAAGTTCATCATTAATAGAGTTCACATTTGCCAGCATACTTTTAATCTCAGCAGAAAAATAGTGTTTTTAGTGTTCTAATACAGACCTCCTGCTATCGGAGCAACCCAAAATGACAGTTCTACCATTTTCATCTTCCTCCTCATGTTAGATTTTCTAACAAACAGATATGAGTTAATACCTAATCGTTAAGTAGACAAAGGGTCATATTTCAGTTGCTCAAGTCTAAACCCTGATGACTTCAATTAAATGATTTTAGCTGTACCTACACCGGCTTAATCTTAGTTTCCAATCTGGCGGGTTTCTGCATGGAATATTGTTATTTTCTGTTATTCCTTCCAACTAGTATGTAGATGTAAAAAGAAATCATATATCTAAGATTTGTATCTACTTATTTATTTATTTATTTATATGTTAATCAAACATATTGTGGTTGACAAGTTTACTTTCAGGATTGGAAAATTCACTTGCATTTGTCTTTATCTCTTTTTCACCGTTTCATACTCCTTTTTAAAGGACATTTTTTCTTTTCATCTTGAAAGAAAAAATAAATCAACGTATTTGTTTTATATATTCCTCTGAAATATCTTCTGTTTCTTTTAAGCTTAATAAAAATATTTTAGGTTTTTGAGGGCTGCTGGGGTCCATCCTTCTACAGACTGCTTAGCAAGGGGATTTGTCTCCCAATAATTCAGACCAATTCACTTAAAATTGAAGGAATGCTTTTTCAATCATTTATCTCAGCATACACATAGATCTTTACCACATGACCAACTGAACCAAAACTCAGCGTTAACTTTGAATCCAGTGATACAAGAACCATCCAAGCTTGACAAATGCAGAACAAAATAAAATGTAAATCCTCACCTACAGTTGCAGAGAAGTTAGAGTAGGCAGAGTCATTGGTATATACAAAGGTAGAGTTATGGGAAGGAAGCACAGTGAAGTTGTGGATTCTTAGAGCTGGGTGAAACAACAAAAAAATAAGCAAATAAGCAAAACAATGAATAAACACAATCAGAAATGAAATGACCAGTTCATATCTCTCAACATGACACAGATCACAGATGTTGGTCAGTGGCCTTTAAAATTATCATATGATCAACTGTCTCCAATAATTTGTAAGTACTACATGAGTGTTGCATCCTTTAACTACATAACTTAAGAAAATATAGCATCGCTAAAACCATTTTTAATTCCTGACAGGAACAGAAAAGGAAAAACTATAATACAGTACAACTGCAACCAGATAAGGGGCTCTGAATACACTGAGGTCAGTAAGGAGCTGTGCAGTTATAACAAAAATCATTACACTGGTGCAAAAGTTATGGTCAATTCAAGTTCTGCGTTCTGTTCTGGGTTCCCTAGCACTAGAGATACTGGAGAGAGCCTGGTGAAGGACCACACAGATATTGAAGGCACTGGACACACCAGCAGAGGCTGAGACAGCTGGGATTGCTCAATAAGGAGAAGCAAAGGCTCAAGGATTTTATCAGTGTGAATAAACACCCCATGGGAAGAGTAAAGATAACACTGAACTCTCCCCAGTGGTATCCAGTGAACAGATAAGAGTCAGTGGGCACAAATTAAAACACAAGTAATTCTACTTAAACATAAGGAAAAAGCTTTTTAAATTAAGAAAAATTATGAGAGAGCTTTTTAAATTAAGAAAAATTATGTTCCAGTCAGAGACTGGAACAGGTTGTCCAGAGGGACTGTGGAGCCCCCACCCCTAGAGATATTCAAACCTCAACCAGAAAGCCCTGAGCAACTGGCTCCAGCTCACCCTACTCATGAGCCTCCCAGGGGGTTGGAGGAGACGATCTCCAGGTGGGGCATTAAGCTCATCTGTCCTGCAGCTCTGAAGTCTAAGGGCTGCTGGCAAACACACGCTATCAACAGATTTGAAAGGACAGCATCAACATTACAGGGTTTCTACCATTTTGCATGTTATGGTTTTGAGAGCCATCAAATTAATTTAGGTATCCAACAATAAAATTTTATTTTTTTCCCCTTCCATTTAAAAGTATCTTGCACACAGTAATTATTTACCTTGGGCAGGCAAATAGATCTTGATGGAAAGCCTGCATAAGTAAATAGAGACATTGACTGGCATTGACTGGGGATTTAGACCAACTGGGCTCACAGGAGGAAAAAGCAAATGCTCAAAAAAAAAAAAAAAAAAAAAAAAAATCAATAGAAAATGCATGGAAAACTAGAGGGCATATTATGAAACCTGAACATGGCCACATATTTTCTTTGCTATATTTTAGGTTGTTTGTTGGTATTTTTTCCCCTCCAATTGCTTCTACCGCTTTTATTGCTATGATAACCAAAAAAATAATTTGCTGACACTGTCTCTCACAACACAAATGCATTGAGAGATATAAATCTGGCTTCACACACAATGACTTCAACAAATAAAATGGATTAACATGATGGACAGATTATGATATTTCAAGTATTTAAGAGAAGAAACATGGAATGAAAATAATTGCATGAAATTATGATGAATGGGAGAAAAACAAGAAAGGCTAGCAATAAACAGAAGAGTTGTGTAATCAGAATGGTATCAAAAATAGAAAATTGTCATGGGCATTAGATTACTACAATAAAGAAAACTTTTATTGTATTTCAAAGTCAAATATCAGATAGGTACATAAAACGTCTGCTGGAAGCCGTTGAAATAATACCCATGTATTATAAGACACAATATATGCAACTGCCAAGAATTTGAACTATCCACTAGAACGTTAAGGAAAGAATTCAACATTGTCAAAATTGCACTGCAGAGAAAAGGACTTCTGGCTACTAGCATCCTGTGCAAACAATAGCAAGAAAACGTCCTCCAAATCTTTTTTTTTTTTCCTGCAGTCATGCCGCTGGCTCATTTATAAAGTTCTTTAACACAGTGTCATAATAGGAGTAAGAGACAATTGCTCATATAAGCCAGCCCTATTCATGTAAGAGAAGGCCTGTAGGATCAGGAGCTTAATATATTCTGCTTTTACTCTTCTGTGTTACTACTGGCAAGATTTCTGAATTGTATTGAAGTAATGTAATTTAACAAGTTTTGAAAAACAATCTAACTAACATCAGTTATGCAATTACAATTTGTCCAACAGCTGTATGTCATATTAGATTTCATATATTCCTTTCAAGTACTTTAAAAACATCTTGATAACACAAATGCTAAAACAATGCTAGATAAGGAGTGCTTTACTCTGTTAGAAAGTACATGAGGTCCACTGTTAGAAAATTACATTAATACACTGTTAAAAATCTCATATGGTAACTTTTTGCAGGTCAAATTATGATCCTATTGAAGTTGGTGGGAATGCTGCCATCAGCCTCTAATGGGAGCAGAATATTGCCTATTGCCCAGATTTATTTCTGGTCAGCCAATTTAATTCCGTTAAGAAGTTTCCTGGAAAGATGGGTCAAACAGTTTGAGTTTAAAATACTTGAGCACCTATGGAATAAAAGGTTTCAGATATTTATAGAATCTTTTCCCCATTTAGGAACAGAGATTGATCTTGCAATTTTTTGTGTAATAAATAGCAATAACTTTGTACTTGTGTAACATTTTTCATACAAGGTTGTAAAGGTCCCTAACTCCTGATTTAATCTCCTGCAGCAATCTTTCTGGGAAAAGATATTACAGTCACCAGCAGTAACACTGCTGCTACTCTTCACAGTAGCACAGTAGGCTTGATGGCCAAGGTAGTCAGCCATAGTGTAAGAAATACTGGGGAATGTACATATATCAACCCAACCTGGAGCTGGCTAAGTAGCTGGAAGAAAAAACAGTTCTCATGTGAAAATTACTAGGGGATTTTTGAGCCTCAGAAGGATGCAAAACGAAGCTGAAAGTTTCATCTGAAAGGTGCGACCCTACAAGCTTGTAACACAGCAGTGGGGTATTTTCCTCAGTCAAAACTCCATGAGTTACATCCCCTGCACATCCCTAGGAAGCTCTCACCCCACTTTAAAATATCAGAATCAGAAAACTGCTGAAACCAAAGGACTACATTTTAAAATCATTCCCTCTGAGATTCTAGAGTTGTGACAACTGACTCACATCAGTGAGGGTTTTGTTTTACCAAGCTTCACATGATTTTTGCCCAACTGGAGAGAAAAAATCATTTAAAAAAAAAAAAAAAGAGAGAGAGAGAGAGAGAGAGAAAATAAACCTATTGCTGTAATACAATTTTTAAGGAAGTATCCAAACCAAAATAAAAATGAATAAGATATATTCAGATATACCCTTCTTTTTCTGTGCATACTATGTGCAACTTTCAAAAATGTCTGCAGAGTTTAGGCATCTAATTCCTTTTAAAAATCTTAAAGTATCAGGCATTTTCACAGCCGGCATAGCCAAAGATCTCAGTTACTGAGCTTATTAGTGCATATTATGCATGTACCAAGCCAACTAATAACAGTGTTATTTCAATAACGCTTTGGATCATAAAACATTTCTCTTTATAACCTTAACAATGCGTAGACAGACCATAAAATGTCTGAGAATACTCTATAAATCAGTTCTCAAATACAATATAATTTGGATATCAAAGCACTGCAAAAACATTAACTTTAAAGAAAATCTCAACTGCCATGTTAAAAAAAGCTAACCACTTTCATTTCTCCTGCTCCCTATCCACTTACAGACTGACACAAATACTTATGTTATTGCTATTGTCAATGAGTCCTTTGTCTACCTCCATTCGTATCCCGAAACTCATGAATTCCATCCACATCTTCCAATGGCCAGTAATGGGAAGCTGATGCAAGAACTTTGAACCCTTTCAAGGAAATACAGATGAACAGGTTGTTAAAGTAAGTCCCAACAAGGATCATAGCAAGTGTCCACAAAGAAGAACAATAAAGAAAGTCAATAGGTTAAGTAAAACAAGATATTGCATATAAATAAAATACTGCACATAAGCAAGACCATCAAAATGGCAGAGATTAAAGTAAAGATATCTGACTGAACACTGTAGAGAACTTCTGTTTTTAAAATTCAACTGATTTTCATTCTAATTGCACTTAAAATACGTAACCATCTCTGACAAAATCTCTGCTACTGTATCAGGCAGCATTCATCAAAGTAATTGTTGGAGCTGGCCTGATAATTTTAAGATGCCATGCAGTTTTTTAAACCCATCATGGATAGTACGATGCACCAAGAAGAGAATGTACAGTGGGAATGTTAAGCCTCTGCAGCATGCTTTCTCTACTCCTGCCTCCTCCACAGAGGACTTCACTATCTCCAGTTAATTGAACTGGAGAAGATGGTAGAGTGTTCTGAGGACTCTTAGCTTCTTCTTGAAATGCACTGCAAAAGCAGTGCAATACCTTTAGGTTATATTTACACAAGCATTTTTCGCCTTTGTTCTCTGTGGAAAAACAGTAGTCAAAAACAATACTTGATGCTGGAGGGCCTGCAACGTGGATGATTGTGTTACTGCACAACCTAGCCTTCCTGATATCTCCAAGTAATTCACACTTTAACTGTGTCATACATGTATAGCAGAGCTATACCCTTAAATAGAAGGAATTTGATGTTCCTTAAGAGAAGGGGTTCCAGAATATCCAACAACACATGGGGGGATGGAAGAATCCCCTCCTCCCCACACAGCATTAGCTGTTCCTTCAGAACCATCTTCACTACACCAAAATCAGAACATCTCCTTGTGGCAGGTAGGAATATTTTGTTTTCCAAAATGTCCTCCTGAGCACCAAGTGTACAAGCTGACAACAGCAGGACATCTGCTGGTTTCCATTGGTCTAATTGCTACCAGTTAGAACAGAGTTTAGGAGATGTGATTACTCAAACATGAACAGAAGTGGGATGTCCAAAGCAATCAAATTTTGTGTTAAGATAACAATTCTATTTTAAGGGTATATCATTAATAATGTAGGAAAACATGAACTGTAATTTCTTATTATCTTGTTAGCTGCAAGAAATCCTTTATTCTCAAAATAATTAATTTAACCAGCCGTTCTGGAAGAAATTGATAATCTCCTATATCCAAGAAAGTTTCAGAATGTTGATACAGATAGACAGAAGTTTTACTGTGAATACAAATGACAATGTTTTTTCAACCTCACAGCATATCATCCTATTAGCTTGAGTTAATCTTTTCTTTTGGGTGGGAACAGAGAGGAAGTATTTATAAAACCAGCATTTTCTACTCAAATTTCAGTCAAATTTCAAATCTGGTGATTGTTTGGAGTTGGTTTGGGATTCTTCCTTAATGTCCTTCTCCCAAAACAGAAAGTATTGAAAGGTATCAAGCATAACCATCCTCTTTCCTTCTCCTCTCCACATCTTCGTTCATATAATGAACAGGTTTGTTCCCACAATGATCCCCCTAACCTCCTTGAACTCCCTGACCACCATTTTTGTTATTACTTTCTATAAAACACCCTTGTTATACAGCTCCATCCACTGCTCCAGCTTTCAAATACTGGACAAAGGATGAAGTGGAAGAAAGATCAACTAGTTTCAAGAAAATTTCTTTCTGCCTTTCATCTGATGGGTATTTAACATTATGTATGAACTGATCTAACAAAACACAACTTTGACTCCCCCAAACTTGCTAGTGAATGATCTTATTAATGAAAAATATAGAGCAAGCATGGCTTCAATAGCACTACCGAATGAGAATAACACTCCTAATCCTTCTGGGGTCTCCAAATGAATTGAAGCAAAACTTATTTATAACATTACACGTATGTGTAGTCCCTTGCCCTACAGTTTTACATTGTTTTGTTTTTTGTTCCCAAGCAATCTTTCAAGAGCCTGAGGGACAAAACAGAAAAGTCTCCTAAATACCACTTAAACTGTCATACACCATAGAAAAGCTCCCCAAACCTTGTGAAAATGGTGGGCAAATTAAAACAAAACACAGTATCTTTTGTCCTCTGCTTCTTTACTCTAGAGCGATCAAAACTGCCTACTGGATAATTATTCCATCATTTTAGTGTTCTATATACAAATGAGATTTCTTTACAATGGACTTGGAGGAGCAAAAATATTTTTTTCATGTTATTTTCATCCTAAATTTTCTTGCCCACACAGAGGAGCTGTGAGCTGTTTTGATGTCTCCCATCCTCATGTTGTACTATTAGAGTTGCAATGCAGACAGGAACTTTAGGCTAAGAGTGCAAAGCTGGCAAATTTGCTAAACGTCACAACAAACAATTGCAGATTTGAAAACACAGAACTACAAGCAGCTCTGCATTTTGTGGCAATACACAAACTACTCAGATTCTCTTCTGAACTAAACTATGCCAAAGATATCTAACAAGTGATTCATAATTGACCAGGATCTATTATTGGCCTGCCTAACTAGGAATATTTGCTGTTTTCATAGAGGTTTTCCCAGAGAGTGGGAGCATGAGTGTAAATAGATGAGGCAGGGAAGTGTTTGGAGAAATGAATGTGGTTCTATGGTTACATTTCCTTTGAATACTTGAAAAATACAGAGAAAAGCATAGTTGCTACAAACGGAGAAAGCTACTGTCAAAGTAAAAGAATAATGACACTGAATAAGTATGCACAAAGCCAAATCTGAAAATTCCAGGCAACCTAAACTCAACAAGCTGTGTGGAAAAGCACTCTGAGGGAACAGGCTGTAGGAATAAACTTTCATTTGCATAAACTAAATCTGGGTATGTGTTCAGTTCTATCTTCAAAGAGTATATTCTAGCTGCTGCAAAAAGAATTAAAGTGATGAGGTTCTATGGTAAGAAGAGTATCCACATAGGCAACCTGTGCTAGTGTACTTCCAGCCAGTCCTCAAACTACCTGCTCTTATTTGCAGAGCACAGAACATGTCTTCTGTTTCACAGTGTGTTTATATGCAAATGGTTCTTGCTTCCATTAACACACCTACCTTTAATATCTGGGGTAGAAGGACTAAAGATAACAGAGGTGATAGAAAAACACAGGAAAAAATAGAGAACAATAGTCAGATAAGAAGGACCCAGGGAGAAAATGAATTGATTACGGAAACTATGTCACAACGTGGCATGAGTTTCATTAGCAGTAGCATCACAACAATGGCATTCTTGTGGTTGGCATCAAACAAACCCACCCCTAAGGAGAAGCTATATTCTAAAAACCTTACATTTATATATAAGATGGGAAAAAAATGGGCAAAGAAAATGTGAAACAAAAGAGATACAGCAAAGAAGTGAATTGCCTCGGGCCATGCCACATGTTGGTGGCTTTCCCAGCTCCCAGTTCTGAGCTATATAAAGTCATGCTGCCACCCCACTTGCAGCCAATCAGCCCTGAGAAGCTTTCTGAAAACAAATACCTGGTGCATTGAATTCAGCTTATACTTGTACCATTACTTCAATGGGTAACTGCTCTGTGTTCAGAACAAAATCACAAGGCTTGTTTACAGCGCTGTAACTGGGAGTGATGCTTTCTGGATTTGAGCATTTCCCCACAGACACCGTATACAAACTAAATGTTGTACAGCTTCCTTCCTTTTTGAGGGAGGCCTTTTTCTCCCTTATGGCTCTATTGGCCAGAAGCCAGTAATCCTCACCTATAGGAAATGAGGTGGTATTTCTTTGTTTTTGAGTGAAGGTGGAACAAAAGAAACTAACTGGTCTGAAGATACTGCAGTAGCAGACAACATAGCTCTCCACATCGCACTGTATTTTATTTTGAACATAATTATATATGGTGAAAACTTAGAAGCACAAAGCAATACATGAATTGGCAAAGCAGTAAAATTGTACTTGTACACCACCATGAGGCTTGAGGTTAAACTATTTATATAAACAGAAGAATTCTGCAGTTACACACACAGATCCCCAATAAGCTATGAGTTTTTCTGCATTGAAAACAGATGAGATTTTTAATATGCTCTGTAACTGATTTTGACTTAAGCATGAAGGCTGGGAGGAGCGTAGATAGCTTGAAGCCTTGGTGAAGTACTACAAAACACATAAACTGGCATATCTAACTGTAAATCAAAGAATTTAAAACACTGAACACTAAGACCTTGATTATAAAAAAAAAAAAAAAAACTGTGTAGAAGTCTGATTCAGAAATTCATGCTCAAAAAGGTAATAAAAACCCTATATAGAGGAATTCTCTATCTATCAAATACAAGTCATTTTTCTCCAAATATATTTCTATACAGAATATTTAGTAGGTAGTGAATATAAACTAAGTGGGATGGTCAGGCTTTATTATATTTTTCATACAGAGTTTATATTTAAATGTGGGGTCACTGTTTCTTTAGGACTACAAACAAAAAAAAAAAAAAAAGGAAAAAGAAAAGAAAAATACACCCCCCCTAAAAAAAAAAAAAAAAAAAAAAAAAAAAAAAAAAAAAAAAAGAGCAAAAAAAGCAATTAAATATTTAAGCATATTGCCATAAAATATAAATTGAATATTCCTTACCTGGGTGTTTGAGTAGCTGGGAATAGTTTCCATACACCTGCACATAAAACATTTTATAATGAGATAAAGTGAGGCAAAACTTGCTAAGAGGAATCCAAATATATCTCAATGCTGCCCATATTCAGAACATTACCTGATACTGGAACTGAAATAAAATCAGCAAAGAATAATGACAACAGAGCAGAGATAATAAATTCTCCATGGTCTATTTAAGGTTAAAAGTACAACCAAGATCAAATTCCTGTAAGATTTCAATCATAAGTTTTCCTTAGCAACTTTTCGTATTAAAAGGGACATTTTCCATGCAAGTTCAAAAAGTCTGTTCCTCCAGTGATGATATAATATCCTTCCAGACCGTTTAAGTAGTATTTGCTTGCTTCACACTTTGATCTCTTCATTTAACCATAAATAAATTACTATGATTTGAGAAAAATTAAAAGAACTGTGCATCAGATCCGAAAGTTGTACGGTTCCATGGAAAGAAGTCAAGTATTTCTGTTAGAATCTGTGCCAAAAAAAAATATCTTGTTTTCAACTTTCTTCCTATGGTCTTTTCCTTTCCATTACTTTCACGTTGTCAGAGATCTGAAGCCAGTTTTGGTTTTGCTAGCAAGAAAATGTACTTCCTTATAGCGCATAGAGCTTATAACTCGCACTATTTCCTCAGGAACTGAGCTGAAAAGAGTTGCTAACTCCTTGCTTGTCCAGCTCACGTTTGCACCTCCATCCCAGATCTTTTTGGGTGGAGAGCAAGTCTGAGTGATGTCATGCTTTCTTCTCAAACTTTGTCCCATTCTGGTACTCTATTTATATCACGTTGCTGCTGTCTCTTTTCTGGGTCCTAACACCAGCCAGCTAGGAACAAGTGGAAACAAGTTAATGTGCTTCAGCAAACAGATTAAAGAGATTACAGTTTTTAGCAATCTGCACACTCAAAGAAGATGCAAAGCCAGAACAATTGTTCCTAATTCAAATGTGTAAGAACAAAATAACAGATTTTGGACACAAATTGTCGAAGGAAAGCTAAGAGCTATTCATTAAAACAGCAGTTTGTATTTGTTTAAAGAAACAAGACCTTTGAAAAAATATTGATTTAAATCACATAGCATTGAGGGATTAATTTTACTGTGTCCCTATCAAGAAGGGGAAACTGAGGCTCTAGCCATTTCACTGATTTGCTCAAAGTTGCCTGTTAGAGCTAGCAAAAATAAAATAAAATAAAATAAAATTACTTCTATAATAGCCACAGCAATATTATTCTTTGATAAAAAATAAAAATAAAAGCAATTACATTTAAGCATTTTTAGAAGAGCATCCCAATTACACTAAGCTTATACCACAAATAACAACCAATATTTTATATATTAAAGATATATAAAATTATAAGATTTTATATTAAATAAAAATAGTAGCTAGAACTAGTTGATATTTTCATTTACTCTTCTCATTAATGTTAAAATCTTGCTTTCAGAAACAAGTTCTCATCCCCCTTTTTTTTTTTCAGTGAAAAACTGAAACAGTAACACTAAACAAAACTTGATAAGCCCTCCATTTCCATAAGCCCTGTTCATCTCTTCCTCATCAACCCTTCCTTTCAATCCCTTATTTATCCTGACATGAGCCATACATAGGTGATGTAAGGAAGACCAGAAACTAAAATTCAGAATCAGATCATGTTAACATCTCAGCAAAATTCAAATTGCCAAAATTTTTCAGTAAACTAGAACTTTCACCACATGATGTTTTGTCAACCAGGAAAACACTCTAAACAAAAGTCAGACAAACATGATGCTAATCTATAGAAAAGTGATCACGTGCACCCATTTCCATGTGTGTCATTGTCCACTTATGGCTTACATTCTGACATGTAGTTGTCCTTCCATCCCCATACATCCATTTGGTGGCTCTTGGCCCCATTTCTACAGATGCCCATATGAGCCTATATTAGCGTGGTTCCTCTTCTGAGCTCTACTCCTTCCATGGTACTATCCCTCTTTCTTACTTGTCCACTTCTTAACCATAACTTTTGCACCAAACTCTTGGCTAAAGCCTTTTTTTTTTTTTTTTTTTTTTAAATGAAAGTTTTCTAATGACCCTTTCTGTAGGGCTTAGGTAGCTGGAAGCCCAGGAGGTTGCCTCATGATAATGGGCCCAGCTCACCCAGCTGGCTGCCCAGAGGCAGTGAACTTCTGAAGCTTCTGGTGGTAACCAACTCTTTCCTAGGAGCTAGGTAGATGGAACTCCAGAGTCCAAGGACTGAAGGGATCATACTTAATTTTGGAAGATGCTCATGCCACATGAGTTGCTGTATGTTATCAAAATTAAATATTAAAAACTTTCAATATCACCAAAAAAACATATTTGGTTTGTAACCTTGCTTTGGTTAAACAAAATAGTTTTGAGAATTCTGAACTTCAGTTCCTAAAAAAATAAATTTGTTTGCACTGAGTATAACTAGTCAGAAGGCACTAGTTATTCACTTTTCCTATTGACTTTTCCTTATTTCCATCTAGTTCTTTTTATTTATTTATTTATTATTATATATAGACTCCTTCCATCATCATTGTTAGCCAGAAACTCTTCTATAACCTGAAGGAAGAAGAGGAATCCTGTGTAAACCCCAGGAAGTCTGCATCACATAGTAACAAGTAGAGTCACTCTTAGAAATAGAAAGTTGCAGCTAAAAATCACAAGAAATATTAAAATAAAAAAGAGAAAGATAGGAATTTGAAATATTTGCCAAGAGAGGCCTGTCAAGGGAAAGAATATGCTTACCAAAACAATTGTGAGAATCCAAGCAAACATGTTCACTGCCAGAAATTTTTGTGGAAACAGCAAATTGCAAGCAGACATCAGAGATTATTTGCAGAAACAAATTCTGAATGTAATCGCATGATCCTCTAGAAACCTGATCTGAAAAGTCACAATGCTTCCACCATAGACCAGAGGTAGCACTGGGCATCTTGCGTGCAAACCAAAATAACTGATCCAACGCTCAGAAGACAAACAATCACAACAGATTGCTCTTGAATAACCTGCAGATAAAATAACTTTCACTTAAAGTACTTGCATGTCAATAAGAGCACAAAGCTCTGCGTACACCGGGTAACTGTGAACAGCCTGTGCTCGGCAGCTGGAGAGATTTCTCCCCAGGACAAGTAAGGGAGCTCCCATCCCACTAAGGGGGTGAGGAAGCAGGACCTGTGACCCACATGCAACAGCACTGGGGGGACTCCCTGAAAGGCTTCTCAATTTTCTGCCCCGCTTAAGCAGAGGGAAGAAGGTGGCCAGGTGGGAACTGCTCTGCATCTTGGACGTTGCTGACACATAGAATGAACTCCCCAAACAGAACAGAAGGAGTTCTGACAGGCTGCACAAACAGCTAGCATCTTGCAAGCAGCAAAATCACACACCCCATTTTTTTTTTCCCTCTCCTCTCTTTTTTTTTTTTTCCTTTTTTTCGGTGTGTGTGTTTGTATGGCAGCACACTTACAAACAAAAAGGTTTAATCTCAAAAGAAAAATCTTTATGATTTATGCTAGTGATTTCAGTTGCAACACCTTCACCACAATAATGAGTGCGACTTATCATGAGATGATTAAACTTCACTTTCAATTTCAGCTTTCCTTGCTCACCTCATTGTTCATTCAGGACAATTATATCATTAAAACAAAAAACTTGGTAAGTGATGCAGCTGATATTTATCAGGAAATGAAAAACACCTTGATGTTAAAAATCTTTATTGCTAACTATGCAAATACAAGCAAAGAGTAATCCTTTAAAGAATTTGGTTTACACCGCAGAAGACAATCTGTAATAGAGTTTTCTACCTTTGCTTTCATTTGAATCATTAACTCTCCACAAGAGACCTGGTGTGTAATTGGCATTGAAACGTTTTATCAAATACCTTGGATTTAATCTTAACATATTCCTTTCTAACTGCTAGATTTTGTTAAACTTCTCTAATATCATAGTCTCCTCTAATACACCAACAAATATTCTGGATGAAAATTGCTCCCTAGTGAAACTATTTATCTGTCAGTAATAGAAACTATTAACTAGGTTGTTATAGCACCCTCCTACTGAAATTTGTAATTTTAGTGCTAATTTTTCTGGCTTGTCGTGGACCTGCAGTTTAAGTAGCTGTAGAACTGCTGTTACTTAACTCGAGTTACACAGAACAGATCTGTAGCTGAAATCAACTGTCCTTTGTCACAGGGAACATCCAGGGCAACTCATCTGGTTCCCTCGGAACTGTTCAGATATGTACATATGTGCACCTTGATTATATTTGCACATCTGCGAGGAACAAAAACAAGATTGTGCCAGACATACTGCCATGTCAATACATGTGTTTGTGTACGGTCATTTCCATAATGAGTATGTTAGCTGCTCACAGAGCTTCAAAACAGAAGCAGTTTTTACAAAAGAAGAACTCTTAGTAGTTTATTACCTCTTCCTTATACAACATTATTCCAACCTAAAATTGTGAGCCCACACCAAATAAAAGCTGTATCTTTTTGTTTGTTTGCTTTAAAGAATCACTTTTTTGATAAGTTCTTCTTAAACCTATGAAGTTGACCTTAGGACTCTAGCAGTGGGAAAGGCCCTGCACTCACTCTCAGGCCAGGTTTGGTATATTTGCAACCAGAACAATACACAGTCATTGTACTTAGAAACTCCCACAAAGTTAACATTCAACAGAGAGGACAAGGACTTCACAGAGTCCCCTTCCTACAGTTACAGTAGGAGGACAAAATAAAGAAAGGGACAGGATGGAGAAGCTGCCCCTGCTCATAACCACACTCTCAACATTTGATGAAGAATCTGCATCATTCCTCTGGTCCTCCTTTGGTTTGTGCAGCCCTGTCTCACACCCGTCTGGATTTTGCAGTTACCTTCCTAAACCAGGAACTATATCCTGAATTACTACATCAGTCTTTGTCCCCCTTTCTAAGGTTTAACAGGATACAGCAAAAGCCACTCTACCAGTGCAGTCACTGTACAGCTTATAAGCAGGAAAGGGAGTTCACATTTTTTTTTTTTTTTTTTTTTTTGTACTAGCAACAAGTCTGATATTTTATTTTTGTACTAGGTACAAAGTCTGCATTGCAGATACTCATACCCTGCCTCTTTCATTGCATAGCTCATTTCAGCCATACAAAGGAGCCACAGATTGGTTTATACCAGCTCCACCCCAGTCACCAAGACTGACTTCCAGTTTGTCTTTTGGAAGAAAAATCTAGTCCCATATCATGACACAGGTCCAACTTGCATTTGGCAGCACTTAAAACAAAAGCACAGTAGTTGGAAGGATTGTTTCGGTTTGATTTTTCCTTTTCCAACATCTTAGTTTTTCTTTGAGCATGGGAACCAAAAGAGCTCATCAGAATGCATTGGCTGAAAACATTTCTGTATTGAAGTATCTTGCAAGTAGTTAATGGCTTTTTTTTAAAGTACATCAGAAGACAGTACTTTGTTAACAAGCTCTGTTTTATAATATAGGTAATTTACCCCTACATTGTAAATGAAAAAATAAGAACAGAGGCAGAAGTTATGTTACTTGAAGTTAACTCTTCATCTAGGTGAACTAGTTATCTAGAATGACATGTTGCATATTGATTAGTATTTTGATCGGTGGTTCCAGCAAGTTTGTTGTATTCTCTTGAATTTTGCTTTAATTTAAAAACCACTACTATTGAAGCAGCTTCTTTCAGTTTCAGCAAATCCTCTTTCATCAAGAGAACAACTTTCTTAGGGTAGAATCCTGCACTATTTAGAGAGAG